ATATTTTTGAGAGCTTTTTTTTCTTGCAAATAACCTCCAAATTGACAGGTGCAGATCTCAAAACTCTGCCATTTGGGGTATTTACCTCCACTTCTGAAAGCCTAAAGTTTCAGCCAGATCCAAGTTTTGTCCTAGAAAGAGCAACCAGCTGAAAATTTACCACCCCTTGCCACCTCAAGTTTCATGAAGTACTTTCAAGCTTTTAAAATCCAGGGAATGCAACCAGCTTGTACAAATCTTTTACTCAGAAAGCAAAAAGATTTAGACAGGAAGTCTTGACAGACTGATGTTTTGGCTTTGCCAAAAAAATCATTTGACCACACCTGGAGCACTAAGATTTGTGCACCACACAAAAGATACTAGCAATGGAGTAAATAGTGTAGTTTTAATCAGAATGATATCTAGACTTCAGCAAAATTGTTCGGTTACAATCCAGTTTGCTCCTGCAGTTAAAATTTTCTCCCCGCCACAAAAAGTACTAACATTAAACTATTTTATATTCCAATAGATCTACTGGTGGGTAGATCACATTGCTTATTTTCCCCAAAACATAGCTCATGCCCAGCTCAATATTTTGATAATGGCACCACAGCATAGGTACTTTGCACAGATCATGTAAATGGGAGCCAAACTCCCTTTGCTCAGTCTACCTCGTGCAGACACAAGGTGTTTTAAAATTGACATTACCACAATCTTCCTCATCACCACCATTATCACAGTCCTTTTCACCGTCACATCTCCAAGAGACAGGAATACATTGGGATGTTCCAGGTCCACAGCTTATTTCATGGATTTCACACATTTTCACATCTGAAAAATCAAAGTACCAGATCATAAGAATTTAGAAAATCAAAGAGGATACATTTTAAAAAGCAAAAAACCACAGCTAAAGCCAAAACTTCTGGTGCAGATTTTTTTTTTTTTTTTTAATTTAAAAAAGTCCCACCATCTACAAAGTCAACTTTTTGGTAGAGACCCAGCAAGATTAGATACAGCACTGCTGGTTACATTTCTACAGATACGGATTGAATTGTTATAGTAAACAGATAAACTTCCAATTAAAAAAACTGCAGATGCTGGAAAAATTCTAGAAGGAAAAAATCAGAGCTCAGTAGTTGTCACTGGACCTAGAACAATAACTGCTTTCCCTCCACAGATGCTGCCAGACCTACTGAGATTTTCCAGCAGCTCAATTTGCAAATACTGGAAGGAATGGAACCCCATTCAACACAGCTCAATCTGATGCAGCTTAGGTGACCTAAATATTGAATTTAAAGTTTTCAACTACTCATCCGAAAGCTCTGTAGTATCTCACCTGCTATAGTAATATTACATAGGTGTTCCAAATTCTGCACTGCTCGTGCAGATAAATTAAGGTTGAGTGTAAATGCTTAAGGAAAGAAAATTTGAAAAACTAGAAGAGCTACAAGCAGTACAACATATTCCCATTAGAGGCATGTTTTAGTATGTGATGCATGTGCACCATTCCATCCAGAAAGTGGATACTTACGACATATTTCAGGGCTTTCATCAGATCCATATTTACAGTCAGCATTACCATCACATAACCACCGGCCAGGTATGCATTTCCCACTTGGGCACATAAAATCTGATGGCTTACAGGTCACATTACCTAGTAATTATAAACCAAAGTCTTAAAACAGTTTACAGAATACAAGTGCTACTGAAGTATCTGGTCTACCTGAAGCAAGTGACAAACAGATCAAGCAGGCAAGTTGACAGAAATTTCTCTGCTAGATAAATTTTCTTTGCCACCCATGGTAAAACTAAGGATATTGACCATAAAAAATCCTACCATCAGGTTGAAGTTAATGCCAAATACTTCAACCAAGACAAATTCAGATCTCCCAAGCACAAGTAGGAGCAAACTGAAGACCTGTGTAAAGTATGTTCAAAAATTTCTTGCTGAGCTTCAACATTTAAATTTATTCTATTAACTGTCTTTGGATTGTGAACATGATTTTGGATAAGATGAGTACTGACTAGGTTTCAGAATTAGCCAATATTTCCATTTACCACAAGCTATTTACACCATGGTCACTTATCTGCCAGGCCTCAAGATAATTAGCTGTTTTATTTCTTACTTAAAAAGAAGGGCACTTAAATTCCATAAAACCCCATATATACCTGTTTTACAATACCACCCATCCTCTAACATCATTCCAAGTGGACATATACAGGTAGATCTCCTGGAAGAGCTGCTAATTTGAGGAGCAGGCACACACATGTATTCACAACCTCTATTCTTAGTAGGTATATCACACCAGTTCCTTCCTGCAGATGAAAAATTCAAAAAAGGTATAGAACAATGTTAATCAATATGGACTACAAACTCAAATGAATACCCCTAAGAGGATACAACTGAACCAGATGATGGGTTCAGCAATGATAGCTATTATTACTGATGAACTTTACATTCTGGACTCAACTGAAGCTTGAAGTTTAAGCAGCTACTGCAGAAAGATTTCAACCCATGCTCTGAAAGTATTAGTCTGGGTCTGGATTGCTTGTCAAGTCACATTACGACTATGCCACAAGTTTTGGGTCCCCTTTTAAGAGGGAATCATTACACTGGAGGCAAGTTCATTCACATAATCCCCAACATAGGGCAATGGTCTTCAGCAAAGGTTAATAGGTTGGGACTCTACTGACTGGAGTAGAGAGAGGTAGTGATCTCATTGAAACAAAAAGGATTCTCAATGTGCTGGACAGGGTAAAGGCTGAGATGTCGTCCCATGTGGAGAAAGCAGTCTGGGACCAGAGGGTATATAGTCTCAATAAAAAGGGGTGTCAATTTAAGACCAAGTAGTAATTTCTTCAAGGGGTTTAAGTGTCTGAAACTCTCCAGAGCTGTGACGGTGTGTGTATATTTGAGGCAGAGATTCTTGGCTGGAGGACAGAGCCAAGAGTTGTGGAGAATGCCGATATGGTGTGCGAGATCAGAGTGATCCTGTTGAATAGTGGAGCAGGCTTGGGGCTGAAATGGCCTGCTCCTGCTTATGGCCTTCTTTCCTGCCGGCAGGAAAGTAAGGAGTTTCATAACTTTGCAGTACTAACATTATGAAGCCATTTCCAACTGAATTACATTGGAGAGATACTGGAGCATTCACTCCACAAATTCTGAAGTAGCACTCAAACCAATAGGCAAATACCAACGTCTATTCTTCCTACCCCACGATGGATTTATTCTTGGGGAAACTGGTTAAGCTTGACAAAATTAATGTCAACAGAAGAGCCAAAATATCCAGGATATTAGGGAATGACAACTGCTATTAAAATAGCTTTCACCCAAAACTCATTTTGGCTGTATAAGACAGCCAAAGCTTACCCGAGGGCTGCATCAACTCATGATAAATAATGACATCTTTAGGTCCATTCAGATTAGAAACCAAAGTTACAAGATTTTCTCCAGTGAACTTGTTGGCTTCGTGAATAGCTTCGTTTTCCTCATCAATCCAGAAGACACTATCCTGGAACAGAAATCATTTCCACTCATTAAACTAAATTTGTCCCTGGGTGACTCTTCTCTCCCCTCCAGCACTATACCAAGTTAATGGGCAATAGGGGCAAAGCTGAATCCCTTCTGCAGTTGGTTTTTTTTTTTTTAAAAAAACATTTAAGATCATGATCTTCAAAAGCATGATGAACTGGAGCATCAGCAGAATCCCACAAAAACTGACAAGAGTCGTATGTACAGATAATAGGGAATAATGGCTGAGAGACATGTGGCATCCAACTGAACACGGTGTGGAACTGAAACAAGGAGGAACTGCAGATGTCAGTTAATCTGAAACTAAAGAGACAGGGTCAAAATATTTTGAAATAGGATATTACTTCTTGTGGGTTTCTAAGTGTCAAGCAACTGCTGTGCTTTTGTGCATATCCCAGGTAAAAATGAAATCCTTCACTACTGCTGCATTCTAATTACAACACCTTATTTTTGGATCTAAGTAAACGTGTTGTGCTTCATGTTATGGCATTACTTTTCTGGATAGGAGACCACAAAAGGTAGAGATTCAACCAACAGGCATACTAGTTACTCAAGTTCAAAATTAAAAGACAACTGAGGCAGCATGTTGTGTTTAAAAATACTTGTACTTTTAAACACTTCATCTCACCTGAAATATGGAAACTGCAGACGAATGAGCAAGGAATTCTTTGGACTGCAGCACTACCCTTCTATCTTGACCATTGAGATCAATACTTGACAACATGTGCAGCTTTGAATCAATCCAATAGAGGCGACTTTTCACTAGATCTGAAGGCAAGCAAAATAAAATCTGTTCAAGTTTTGATATAGAAGGGACTGAAAAAGATGTATCAGGAGGAGTTATTACTAACCAAGTGCAATTCCATTTGGCTGCTGAATCCCTCCACTAACTAGGAGCTGTCGACCCATACCATTCATTCCTGATTTTTCTATTTTGGCTGGGTCACCACAGTCTGACCAGTAAACAAATCTTAAAAAAGAGACAAAAAAGTTAGAAGAAACAGAACCATATATTGGGGTTTAACATTGTTGTTTATGTACAACAATCTGCTTGCTAACAAAAAGCAATTCAAGTTTGATTGTAACACAATGAGTTAATACAAATATGTTATAGAATTATTTGGGCTAGACATCCATTTCTGGCTGAATATGAACATTCCCCAGTGGACTTAATTCTTCATGGAATGTGGGTATTGCGAGTTAGACCATTTATGGCCCCTTCCTAATTTCCTTCAAAGTTGTGAACCATACACAATGGAGGTGAAGGGAGTTCGGGATTTTGACCCAGGTGACTAAAGAATAGTAGTTTAGTTCCATTTGATGCACAAAAATTCTTTGCACGAGCCAGTTTAGGAGGATGTAAACAACCTCAAAAGCCCAACTTTATGAGAGACAAAGAGATAGGTGGAGGGACAGTGTTGAAGCAGGTAGGCTGCAGAAGGATGGACAGGCTAGGAGAGAATTGAAGAGTAGTGCCAGATGGCATACTAAGTATAAAGAAAGCGTTTAGGCACTTGATAGGAAAATAGAGGCTCTCTATTCTCAAAACTCTTAAAGTGTTGACATGCAGGAAGGCAAAGTGTAATGTATTCTAGCCCATTGAAGGCTAACAAGCACAGAAAACACATACTGTTGAGGCTGTACAAGGCTCCAGTACAACTAGATTGGAATACTGAGTAGTTTTGGGCACTGTATCTAAAGAGGAAGGATAAGCTGGCTTTGGAAGGGATCAGAGCAGGTTTACAAGAATGATCCCAGGGACAAGGAATGGTTGAATACTCTGGGTCTGTACTTGCAGCATGGGAATTTAGTGCAACAGAATGCTAAGGGGCCTGGATGTGGAGATGTTTCTGCTAGTGGACAGACTAGGGCCTGAAAAGGCACAGCCTCAGGTGAAGAGGCAACCCTTTAGAAGGGAAAGGGGAATTTCTTCTGCCAGAGGCTGGTTAATCTGGGAAATTTATTGCCATTTGGAGCCTAAGTCATTGAATATGTTTAAGACAGATAGTTCTTGATGAGTAATGTGGACACAGGGGTTATAGGGAGAAAACAGGAGAATGGGAGTCGAGGAACACATCAGCCATGACCCAAAGAGGAAAAAAAAAAAAGTAGAGCAGACTCAAGTGGGCTGAATAGCCTAATTCTGTTCCTATACCTCATAGGAATTACATTAAAACATACCCAACTCAACTACTGGCTTATGGAAGCTGGTGTCTTGAAAGTCAATATAGATTCTCCATGTTTGTTATACCCAACTGTACCACTTCCCATTCCAATTCTTCAGTTTCACAGCAATGTAGCCAGCTTCTTTATGCTTACATGAAGTTTGAATGTCTACTTCAAACATTGAACTAGTTTGATAGATTAGCATTTACCATGATTACCATAAAAATTGTGCCTTTTGTACCAAATTTTTGACACCAGTGCCAACAAGCAAGTCAGAATTAAAGTTAAATACTGTACCCAGATAGTGGATCAACTTCTATAGAAGCTGGCTCTTTTAGGTCTGTGTTAAACAGAACAGTTCTTTTGGTTCCATCAAGCATTGCGATAGATATAGTTTTAGTACCACGATCAGTCCAGTAGATGTGTTTGTAAATCCAGTCAACAGCAATTCCCACAGGGATGTCTAGATCTCCAACCACCACAGATTTACCAGCTTGGTCTTTCCATTTATTAATGGACATACTAAACAGGATGATAAGTGATTATTTACCTTTGTGTCATTTCATTTTACACAATAGCAAAATGAAACTAAGATTTTGATAATAAAAGCTTGCCAATATAAAAACCTCAAACAGCTTATGGCAAGGAACTGGTATTTGCAATGTTACCATAGAATCCAAAAATCAATCTTCAGAGCACCAATTATTAATTGCTGCAGCAAATTAAAACAAGCCTTTTAAAATCCAGAACTGTTTTTAACTCAAATACTCCAAGTTTTAAATTCTTGTGCAGTACTTTACCTGAAAATTGCCTGGTGACCCACATCAGCCCAGTAAATTCTTTGTTCAGCGACATCAGCATCCAATGCTACAGCATTTCTCAACTGCACAGCTACTGGAGTGTATTCATGATGATGCAGTCCTAGTTTCCGAATGTCATGCCGGTTAGTGAAGATCAAATATGGTTCTTCCCCTATGGACATTAAGAAACAGGTTAAAAGAGGCAAAACACTAATGCAACATATTTAGAAATAGTCAACAATGGTAGATCCTAAAGACAAAATGTGAACAAAAAAAAGAAGTGTTATACAACAAAATCAGGCCTTGAACAAAAAGCAGCTGAATAGGGTTTCAGCTGAAATACTGCTTACAGAGTCTGGGAGCCACATTTCAAGTAGGATGTGTTGGACACCGTGCACAAGCATTTTACAAATGGTTCCAGGGAGGAGTAATATTAGTTGATAGGTTGAAACTGAGACTGTTAGAGAAGTTCTGATTGCAGAAAAGAAAAAAAAAAAGCCAGTCTGGGTTGGTGGGTTGCTGGCAGGGGGACCTGCAACCTCAAAAAAAAAGGAAGGGTCAGTAACCAGAGGGCACAGGAAAAAAAGGACATAAGCTTTCAAAGACTGAGTCATTAGGGAATGGAATGTACTGTGCGCTGGGGGATGGAGGCAGGTTTAAAAAGAAAACACCAAGGCATTAGAGCACATTGGATTTTAAGAAGTGCATAAGGCTAGGTAAAGTGGAAACTTTTTTGTAGGTGATACTGGCTCTTCAAATGAGCACTCAAGACAAGGGCCCAAATGGCCCCCTTTGACACTATCACTTACTCTATTCTGTTAAGTGTATGAGATAGCAGAGAGCAAGTGAGCAATTTGATTTAGTATTGTTAAGGAACACAGGAAAAGGAGGTGGTGTGATCTCCACTAGGAGCAGCAATCTTAAAAGAATGAGAACAGAACTAAGAAACCAAGTTAACCTATTCTTGCTCAAATTCTAGTGTCCCATGTTTCAATAACTACCAACTGCACAGAAGTTATGAATTTATATTAGAGAAAGGAGGCCAATGTCTCTAGATCACAAATCATTAACAAGGTACCTCAGAAATGACAGTTTACACATTTTCACATTGAATCTGTGTTCACTTAGCTGGGTACAGGGTGAAGTTTGCAGATGCCAAGGATAAAGCTTTAAAAAACGGCAGAAATTTGGGTTGGTCAAAGTAACTCCTAGCATCAAGAGAGTTGCGATATTTTAAAGTTCAAGTAGGTAAGTGATACTTGCCAACTGCCTTGCAAACCCCATTAGCTGGATCCATATGATATCCTTGGTGACATTCACACTTGTAGCTACCTTCCAAATTGATGCAAATTTGACTGCAGGCTTCAGGAGTTTGACATTCATCAACATCTGGACAAAAAAGTTTAAATCAGTTTTGCTTCAATATTTGAAGGTGACCCATTTTACATCAGCTAGTTTTTGGAAATTACCTATGCAAGTCCTGGCTGACAGATGAAAGCCTGCAGGGCATCCACATTTGTAACCAATAATAAGATCGGTGCAGTTGTGAGAGCAGCCCCCATTATTCAGTAAACATTCATTCACATCTAAAAAAAGAAATCCAGACATCAACTTCTCAGCTTCCCAGTACAACCTTAATCCATGTTACATTGGCTAAAGTTTAAGGATTTTGACTATTATAACAAGAAAATCCAAGTTCCAGTGTTCTAGGGAGGTACAGCTTGCTTAATTAGGCAATTAAAGTCATATTTTAATTCAGATCTTAAGAATCAAAAGCACAAATAGGTTTATAGAAGAGCATCCACATGCAATTTAAGCAACCCAGGGACAGCATTATACACTGGCCTTTTCTTCAAAAGAAGCTCAGGTTGGTTAAAATAGCATTGCCAAAAACATACATCTGAGAAACTTCAATCCAAGTCAAGGACAGGTATACATGTACAGCTTTAATTACTCAACTTTGATTTCCCATACTGAATCTGAAAATTAGAATTTCAGGGATTAACACTGGTCAATAAAAAATGTAGAATGGTGTCACAGCAGGACCAGCCATACCCAAAAAAAATTAGATATGTCAACCTAATGTTATAAATACACACTGCTTGTGCTGTTGATGCACATGTACACTCAGCAGACTAAGTGACCACATGAAGAACCAATCAAAATCTAACACTGCAGTCCAGTCACAGATGGTGGTAGACAATTAAGATACTAAAGCAGGAGGAGAATCCAAAAGTTATTCATCCATAAAGATGGGGCAGCCCAGCACAGTGCAAAAAACTAAAGCATTTGCAACAATTTTCACCAGCTAAAAAGATAAATGGATGACTCAAATACCATCAAAAGCAGTCTTCAGCAAAAATTTGCTTCACTCCAGTGATTGAAAAAGGGGTGATGACACTGGATATGCAAAGACTGAGCCCAGTCAGTATTCTGGCAATAGTACATTGATGTGCTCCAGTACCTGCTATAGACCTAGCTGAACTGTTCCACTACAGATACACTGTGGTCAGCTTTCTGCAGCAGCTGATGCCAAGGCATTTCTGGTAAACAAAAATCAGGACAAGCCTAACTTGAGATTAATATTCCATAAAAGCTAGAAGAACTTCAGATGCCATGATCTGCAACAAAAAACAGAAGGTGCTGGAAAAGCTCAGCAGGTCTGACAGCATCTGGGAAGAAAAATCAGAGTTAAAGTGTTTCAGGTCCAGTGACCTTTCCTCAGGGCCTGAAATATTAACTGACTTTTCTTCAGATGCTGCCAAACCTGCTGAGATTACTGACGAGAGGGTAGACTGGGGGAGCAAGAGGGACAGCAGGTTCAAGAATGGACAAGAGAATCATTCTAGGAGGCACCATATCCAAGTCAGATGAAGTAATAAATGCCCAAAGAGTAGTAAAACATGGACAATATCCAGGTTTGAGCTGACAAATGTTCATCCTCATGGTGAACTAGGAATAGGTAATGCCTTCATGCCATGAAGGATTTAAAGTGGGGCTTCTTTGAAAAAAGGGGGTTTTTAAAATAAAATTTCATACTGAAGGACTTTCACTGCTTGCTTATTCAAGTCTCAATAATGCAAACCCAGGAGTAGTCTTAGGAGGTTGTAATTTTAACTTGAAAAGGTTTAAATTACTACTTCAGCACCTGAATGCTTCATTTGCATGCTAAATATTTCAGACAAGGCATTTAGCTACTGAAGATAGTTATCAGTTAAATTTCCAAGCCACTTCATTTGCTCAAACTTTTTGGGCAAACACAAACCCTTTCCCTTTGACTTGTTCTAGTTGAAAACAAGAAATTCGTAGACAGGAAAGTGCAACAAGTGTGCTTGCAAAAATCAAGCAGGTGCATCTGCAGCATCAGCCTACTTCTGAGCAGAGTCAAAAGACACTAGTACAGCAGACAATTCTGAACTAGTCAACAATTCCAAAAATAAACCCAATTTGGTACCCAGCAGGTTTGCTCAAGGAACAAATAGCCAAGCTGTTTGGGGAGGTTCAAGCCTTGATTAGTGCCAATATGATCTGTGCATGATATCCTATAGCATTACTTTCACAAGCAGAGGAATTCCCCCAGAGTACTGGCTAACTGTTCACCAAATAAGTATTTTAAACAGATTCTGGTCATTACTTCTTGTAGTGTGTAAACTGACTACCACATTTTAGTCATTTACACACCTTGATTGTAAACCATTTACTAAAGTTCAAAATTTGTACAGATACAAGACTTAGACTTAGAACCAAGGAAGGCAGCTGATGTAAACAATAGTTAACTCAAATTAGTAATTAATGATCACCAAACCTGAATTCTAAAAAAGGTGAATTCAGGACTATATACCAGTTAAACACTTACTGCATCCTTTAATGGGTTCATCACTCCAGTCCTTGCAGTCTTGATGTTGGTTACACACTAAAGATATGTTTATACATTCACCACTTTGGCATTTGAAGTCATTGGGTCCTGTACATTCTAATGCTTAGAGAAGAGGAAAAAAAACAGTAAGAGATCTGAAACCTAAAATTTTGATTTTGATAAAACAACAATGCTATAAACCTACCACTCTCACAATTGACCTCATCACTTCCATCAGTACAGTCCCAAACTCCATCACACTTTATGTTTCCAGGAAGACAAGTTCCATCACATTGGAAAGTATCTGGCTTACATATTAGAGGAGCTAAAAAACCAAAATAGAAACAATGTAGTGTTTATTTGTACCGAAATATTTTCCAATATAAATATTGATTTGCCCAAGTTTGTTACTTCAATGCATTGGAGTGAATTACCAAACTATACTTGAGTGAGATTCATTCTGAAGTTTTCAGAAGCTATTCTGACCTAGATGATATCAATTGAAGATGCACCCCCCCCATATGCACAAGGAACTTTCAAAATGCATGGAGCCTAAAAAGAGATAGGAGGGGTCCTTGAATACTTTTCTTCAGTATTCACAACTGAGGGACCTAGTTGTAGAGGACAGTGTGAAACAGGCTGTTAGGCTAGAGGAGGTCAATGTTAGTAAGGAACATGTACTAGGAATTGAGGAACTTGAAGATAGACAAGTCCCCTGGGCCTGATGGGATTTATCCAAGGATTTTACAGGAAGTAAGGGAAGAGATTGTAGGGCCTTTGGCAATGATCTTTTGTCCTCACTATCCATGGGTATAGTGCCAGAAGATTGGAGGGGCGGAATGACATTCCTTGTTAAAGGAAATAGGGATAACCCCAGAAATTACATCAGTGGTGGGCAAATTATTGGAAAGGGCTCCGAGAGATAGGATTTATGATCACTTGGAAAGGCACAGTTTGATTTGATAGTCAGCATGGATTTGTGCAGGCTAGATCATGCCTCACAAATCTTATTGAATTCTTTGAAGAGGTGACCAAACACGTGGATGAAGGTAGAACAGTGGATGTGGTATACATGGATTGAAGTAGGGCATTTGATAAGGTTCCTCATGGTAGGCTCATGCAGAAAGTAAGTAAGGAGGCATGGGATCAGGGGAAAATGTGGCAGACTGGATTCAGAATTGACTGACCCTTAGAAGACAAAGGGTGTTAGTGGATGGAAAATATTCAACATGGTGCTCAGTTATGAGTGGTGTACTACAAGGATCTGTTCTGGGTCCTCTATTTGGGATTTTTGTAAGTGATTTGGATGTAGAGTGGAAGGGTGGATTAGTAAATTCGCAGATGATACGAAGGTGGGTCAAGTTGTGGACAGTGCGGAGGGCTGTTCTAGGTTACAAAGGGACATTGATAGGATGCAGAGCTGGGCTGAGAAGTGGCAGATGGAGTTAACCCTAACAAGAGAGAGAGGTGATACATTTTGAAAAAGAAACTTGAAAGCAGAATACAGGGTTAACAGAAAGATTCTTGGCAGTGTGGAGCAGTGGGATCTTGAGGTTCATGTCCACAGTTCCCTGAAAGTTGCCACCCAGGAGGATAGAGTTGTTAAGGCATGTGGTGTGTTAGCTTTCATTAATAGAGGGATTGAGTTCAAGAGCTGTGAAGTTATGCTCCAGCTATACAAAAGCCTGGTTTGGCCACATCTGGAGTATTGTGTCACCTTGTTATGGGAAAGATGTGGATGTGTTGGAAAAAAGGTGCAGAGGAGATTTACCAGGAATGTTGCCTGGAATGGACGGAAGGTCTTACAAGGAAAGGTTGGGTGCGCTAGGGCTTTTTTCTTTTGAATGAAGAATGTGAGGTGACTTGATAGAGGTGTACAGAGTGATCAAAAAAGGTATAGATAGATAGAGTGGACAGCCAGAGACTTTTTCCTAGGGTGGAGGTAGCTATTACAAGGGGGCATAGTTTTAGTGACTGGAGGTAGATTCTTTACTCAGTGGTCAGGGTGTAGAATGCATTGGAGGAGAGGGTAATGGAGTTGGCCTCATTAGGGGCATTTAAGTGGCTATTAGCTAGGTATATGGATATAGTACAAGGTGGGGGGGGTTAGATAGACCTCAAGATTAGGGTAAAAGTTTGGCACAACATTGTGGGCCAAAGGGCCTGTACTGTGCTGTTCTATGTTCTACAACTCATTTGACAAGCTGTACTTGCAGAATTACTTCTAATACAAATGGGCTATATCCTAAGGCCTGATGCAATATTAACATTTAAAGGATTTAAAATTTTTGTAAAGCACTTCCACTTTTTTTGTTTAAACAAAAAAGTCTCAGATTGGAGAATCAAACATTGATCTACAGAAACCTGTTTTCTTTGCCATACTGGGCCTCAAGTTAAATGCCATATGATTTGGCAGAGCTGAGGATGTTGATGCATACCTTTAAGCTCTCCAGTTAGGCAAGAAATGAGCCAATTAACAGCCCAATCATGTGACAGTACTGGAAAAACTCAAGTTTAGGCTCCTACACTATACAGGTGCTTCATCCAAGACAGATATTGGAAGTGCTGTATACATGGTGCCAAGTTCCAACTGGTAAGGTGAATCTGTGCCATTATTCAAGTATAATTGAATATAGAGCTGTCAGGATCAATGCGCATCTTAAGCAAAAAATTCAGTTGAGTTGAGGCAGAGGAAATGCCCAATGCAACAATGTTTGCAAGGATTTGTATTTCTAAACCTGGTCAGTCAATGGGATAAAATTAGACATGGAAAATTTAGTTGTACGAGAGAAACTAATGCATTATACATTGATATGAGCTAGATTTAGTTTAGATAAAATTCATTGAAACTTCAACAGTTGTTGATAGGAAAAATGCTTCATTCTAATAAATCTAAATTAACCAACTCATTTACCATGGCATTGGAAAAAGCCAGAGCCAAAAATCAGCAAAAACTGACCAGATCATAAAAGATGATAGTACCATGTAAACTTGTGAAAGAGGGAAGCATGTTGGTGACTCTGCGGGGGAAATGGCTTGACCACAAAAAAGTGGAAGAACAAGAAAGTTAGTTCAAGTTGCAACCCCCTTCAGTTAGTAATTATCTACAATTTTTCATGGTGGCTGGAGATGGGTTACATTTTTCCACAGAAAGGTGGTCACAACTGGCCAAAAAACCATGAAGCATAAAGCTAATAACTTACGACAATTAATTTCATCACTTCCATCTTTACAGTCGGTATCACCATCACAAAACCATCTACTGTGAATGCATTCACCAGAATGGCACTGAATATCATCAGGGGAGCAAGTCACAGGGGGAAGAATGTTGTGCCTACAGCGGTCTGGAGATTCATCAGACTGGTCACCACAGTCAGCATGGCCATCACACACCCAATCCAAGGGAATACACTTGGAATTATTGCAATGAAACTCATGTGGGTGACAGATAGCTGGAGCACAGTTTCTTTCGTCACTTCCATCACTGCAGTCATCTTCCCCATTGCAGACAAAGGCTCTGGAAACACATCTACCACTGGAGCAAGTAAACTCTCCTGGACTGCAAGTAAGGTTACCTAGGAGGGGGAAGAGGAAAAAAGTGCATTAAACTGACTTAAAAACATTGGGTATCCTAATAGACCAAAATTTGGATATTGTAACACATTGGACCCAAGATTCCTTACAAGGACTGTTAAGTTTAGCTAGTAGTTTGTACACAAGCTATCCGAATTCCAATTCTTAAATCATAGCATCTCCTCTTCCATACAATCTACAAAACAATTCCTGGCTTTCCTCAACCTAGGTGATGACAGTACCAATTGTTTGATAACCTGCAGGACCAGTGAGTGAACAGGAGGAGAACAAGAAGAGAGATGCTCAGTGTGCAAACATCAAGCTCAAAGCTTGTGTGGCTGACAGCTCATTTCACTGCCTGAAGTTATGCGTGATCATTTTTGGAATGGGAAGAAGTTTGTCTGTTAGAGCAAGGGACATGGGAAGAAGAAATTGTTTCCATGCTGCCATCCCAGAGTGGCATTTGGAACAAACTAGCCCTGGATCCAGGGTAAGGTCATTTCAGCTGTTTCCTCAAGATGGAGAGCACTGGTTAATTGGCAGCAAAATCTGCAGAGGCAGCCAAATATTCTGCACACCAGTGATGATGCACTAAACAAGTTCCCTGCAGTTTAACAGGGAACCAAACCCAGACTGCCAGATCCTGCACCAGGTAGTGGGTCAGTAGGTGAGCAGCACTGGTTAGAAAGAGGTGGTGGCAAGCTAGTACTTGGAGTATTGTCTTGACTTGCCCTTGGGCACAATGTGAAACTGAGGGTCAGTGAATTTTTCCCTAGTGAAAGTATGGAGTCAGTCAAGGATATCAGAGTTAGGAAAGGAGGATTGAGATCACAAGTTAGGTGTTGAAGTAAATTAGTTGCTGAGACGGCAAGTGTAGATTTCAGCCGAAACATTTCCGAGAGAGGGAGATTAGGTTTATTCCAATTTAATTTTAAAGAAACCTTTTCAAACAGATCTACTCTAGACAATGCACATGTATAGCCTTGAATTCTCTTTCCCCACCCCCCCCATTGTGTTGCAGTATTCACTCACTCAGTGTGGATACAAATTTAAAATCTGTCATGTTGAGTTTGACCTACCACAATTTGCTTCATCACTGCCAGTACTACAATCCTTTTCTCCATCACATTGCCAGTTTGCAGGAATACACTGAGAGGAGCCAGGGCCACAGCTAATTTCATTCATGTGACAGATATTCATGTCTAAAAGAATAATATTAAGACCAATTTTAAAGAACAGTTACCATAACTTCAGAAAAACCAATAGGCACACCAATACAAAAGATTGGCCCTATGGTGGGGCAATGAGTATACAATATGCATTTTTAGGACAGGTTTATCAGAATGCGATTGGTATGTCATTCAAGGAAAAAGCAGCACGTGGAGAAATCATGTAACTTTGAAGTGGAACGGAAATTGTACCAAACAGCAGTGAACCAGTGTAACTGGTGCTTTGTTGACAAAACAGGCGATAGTAAATCAATGTTTTAGAATGCTGAGCATGTTCTGTTTGTTTCCATCAACTTCATAATGGCAGGGAAATTGGCCAGTGTGCAAGTGCAGCCAGCTTCTTGCTTTTTTTAAAAAAGCAAGCTAGAGGTACATTTTTAAATAGCAAAATCATTTTTGCATCCATCTTTCCACCTATTATTGAAATAAGACAGTTAATTTTAATTCAGTTGAGATTTATTAGCTATGATTTAAGGATAACCCTACAGATTAAAAAGTTAAGATTTCACTGTAATACAGATGCCACCAGTTATTTCTACTTTCAATTGTGTACTGGTAAATTGAAACTATGGACAATCTATAAGCACTTTTGAAAAAGTATTGAAAAAGGAACAGCTAACATTAGCCATGAAAGCAATTTAAAAAAGTGACATCTAAAAAGGAAGCTAAATTTGCTAAGAAGTTTGTATAAATCAAGATTGAAGCAGACCAGTGTGTAAAATTTAAAGTCAGATGCAGTGAATTGAAAACAATTGAGAAAACCAGTATGTGGATGGGGGGGGGTGAATTGTCAGTCTTTTTCCAAGGTAGGAGTCCAAAACTGGAGGGCATATACTTAAGGTAAAAAAAGGGGAAGATTTAAAAAGGGACCTAAAAAGCTTTTTTTTTTTTTTTTAAAAAGGAAAAGGAAAAGAAAATGCAGAGGGTGGTGCGTGTACGGAATGAACAGAGAGAGAGAGAGAGAGAGAGGTGGAGACTGGTACAATTGCAACATTTAAAATGCATCTGAATGGGTGCATGAAAAGAAAGGGCTTAGAGGGATATGGGCCAAATACTGGCAAGTGTACTAAATTAATTTAGGATATCTGATTGGCATGGATGATTTGGACCAAATGGTCTGTTTCTATGCTGTACAGCTGACTCTAAATTCAAAGATGTATTAAATCTAATTAGTATGCAGAGGTCCTTAGAGATTTTTGCTTCATCTTTAGCTGAAGTTCCGTAAGACTGGAACATGGCTAATTGTTCCATTGTTTAAAAGAGATAGCAAAGACAAGCCAGAGAGCCTGACAGTGGTATGCATGTTATTGGAGGATAACAAGGGACGGGATCAACGAACAAGGATCAACCAAGATTTGATTAGGTATAATCAATATGGATGTGTGCATGGAAAGTCTGTCAGACAAATCTTGGAGTTTCAGGAGGTCACCAAGAGGATAGATGAGGGTAGGGCAGTGCATGTTGTTTATGGACTTAAGCCTTTGACAAGGTCCCACCTGGCAGGCTAGTCAATTGTTAGGTCACGTGATCCAGGGAGAGCTAATTGGATTTAAAATTGGCTTGATGTTAGGATGCGGGGGCGATGGTTGAATGTTATTTCTTGGACTGGAGGCCTGTGACTAGTGGTGTGCCACAGGGATTGGTCCTGGGACCTTGTTATTTTCAATGATCTGGATGTGAATGTACAAGGCATGATTACCAAGTTTGCAGATGACATGCAATTAGGAGGTACTGTTGATAGCTAGGAACACAAGTGAAAAGTTTGAGGGATCTTGATCAGATGGGGAAAGTGGGCTGAGGATTGCCAAATGCAATTCAATACAGATAAGCGCAAGGTGTTGCACTTTGGAAAGTCAAACCAAGGTAGGACTTGTGCAGTAAAATGGGAAGGCCCTGAGGAGTGCAAGAGTACAGTACTAGTTTGCTGAAAGCAAAAACACCACAGGTGGACAGGGTGGTGAAGGCATATAGCATGCTGGCATTGATCAGTCAAGGCCTTGAGTTATGTTATAGTTGCCTGAGATGTTGGTGAGGCTGCACCTGGAATATTGTGTACAGGTTTAGCTACCCTATTGTAGGAAAGGCTGTCAAACTGGAAAGTGCGCATAGATTTGAGAATGTTGCCAGGCCTAGTAGGCCTGAGTTATGGACGTTGGCCAGGATAGGACTTTCTTCCCCCCACCTTGGAATGTAGGAGACAGGTGACATCACTGAGGTGTGCAAGTCATGAGGGGCATAGATAATGAAAGAGGTCTTTTTCCCCCCCAGGGAATTGAAAGCTAGAGGACATAAGTTTAAAGGTGAGGTGGGGGAGGTGGGAGGTTTAATGAAGACCTGAGGGGCAACTTCATGCAGGGAGTTGTGTATGTATGGAATGGGCTGCCAGAGAAAGTAGTGAGGCAAGTACGTAGATGGGAAGGGTTTAGAAGGATATGGACAAAATGCAGTCAATTGGAGCTAGCTGAGTTAGCACCATGGACCAGTTTGGGCTGAAGGACCTGTTTCTATGCTTATTACTCTAGTGTTTGACCTTCACAACTGAAGGTGTCAACATCCAAGTGGTGCAGGAATCACAATGCACAATTAAGTGCAAGATACTTACAGCAAATGTCAGAGGCTTCGTCAGATCCATCTTCACAATCGGCAACACCATCACACTGCCATTTACTGGGCACACATTGTCCATCATGACAGATGAAATCTGACACTCGACAGGTAGTATTACCACCTGGGAAGAGGAAACCATCTGTTCAGATGAGCTACAGTGGTGTACTGCTGATTTGAGATGTACAGCCAAGTCAAAAAACCTTAAAAACTGAACCTTCCAATGCTCCCCCACTTCCTTGGTCTTGCCTCTTAAAGCACACTGCCCTCAAACTCAGGACTTGCTATCAATGGTGTGATTTTGCAAGTGTCTTGTTTGAAATTTGTTAAACCAGTTTTAGTATTGGTAGATTGTCAAAAGGTAAAATGCTGGATTTTAATGATCAACTGAATACACAAAAAGCAGGTCAATATAGAGTCACAAGTGGAAGGGTTGAGTTTATAAAATAGCAGATCAGCTTACTTAGCTGGAGAAATTGTAAAGAGGGATAATTACCTAAGCCAGAAGCCCAGAGCGGATGCTGACTGAAATAAAAGGCATGAGGGTTAATCCCGGTTTGTTGCCTAGTTTGAAACTATTGGTAGAAATTTACAGTAGGCTCATCTATAAAGCAATTTAGATAGGTGGGACAGAAAACAGACAGGTTGTGTCAGGTCAAGGAGGCAGGGATGAGAGGGAGGGTTGGTCTTGGGAATGAGGCCAAGGGGGTGGGGAGATGTTGAAACTGGTACAGTCCATGTTGAGACCATTGGGTTGCAGGCTCCCAAGGCTGAATAGGAGGTGCTGCTCCTCCAATTTCCAGGTAGTGTCATAAGACACTGGAGGCAGCCCAGGATGGACATGTCATTCGGAGTTTGGGGGTGGGGGCATTAAGTGGGTCAACTGGGACTGTGGGACACAGGTTGGTAGATTTTGAGACAGATTAAAAACAGGCTGTGGTTGGGAGGTCAGCAGTAGTAATGAGGTTGTGAATAGTTTGAGAACACTCCCCATTATCTCCACTACCCTGGCACCTTTCCCTGCAACAGCAGGAAGTGCTACATGTCCTCCCTCACCTCCATTCCAGGCACAAAGAAAACCTTCCACATTAGACTGTGGTTGGATGTGCAGGTCAACCCATGTGGTCTATTGCATCCTTTACTCTGATGTAGAGGAGGCCAGTGAGGCCAAGCAGAGGCTCAGAGACAGTTTTGTAGAGCATCTGCGCTATACATGACAGATGACAACAGCTTCTGGTCACAAGCCATTTTAACTCCCACTCCCTGGGTGGGAGTTCCTTCCTGGGCCTCCTCCAGTGTCACAATGACACCACCCACAAACTGGAGGAGCAACACCTCATTCTGCCTGAGCAGAAAACAAATTTTTCAAAGTCTCCCCATGCTGGCCTCATCCCATAACCAACCCACCCTCCTCTCCTCAACCCGACACAAGGTGTCCACCTTCACTCCACCCATCTGCTCCTCCCACCTCACTGACCAATCCCCACCACCTTACCTGTACTCATCTATCATCCAACCAACCTTCCCCAGCCCCTTTCCCCCTCCCCAGTTCTGAAGGGTCCTGACCCAAAACATCAGCTTTCCTACTCCTGATGCTGCCTGGCCTGTTGTGTTCATCCAGCTCCACACATGATGACTCCAGCATCTGCAGCTCTTGCTATCTCTGTACAGAGTGGAACTTAAAAAAGCCAATCACAAATCTAAATTTTTTTAACTTCAAGATTGTATGTAGGAGGTGGCCATTCAGCCTACTGAGACTGATCCAGTGAGCAGCTGATCTGAATCTGCAGCTTTTCTGCCTTTCTCCCCCAACTTTACAATGCCAGGCTGATTGAAAGTCTGACATTAATGTCAGCAACCCAACCTCTAGCCTTCTGTGGTGAGGAATTCCAGATTTATCATCCTCCAGAAATTCATTAGGTCTCAAGTGGGTGACCCTTTGATAAGTGTCCCCATGGCATTCAATTCTCCTGCAAGAGGGGAAAACCCTTCCCACATATCCCATCAATTCCCTCAAGAATCCTGCAAGTTCTAACAGATGAATCATCTTGTAGACTTGTTCACTGAGCGTTTGCAGATTATGCCACCTGCTAGGTAACAGTCAGTGCACCTCCAGTGAAGTGCTGGTGTTCTGTCCTGCTGGTTATTTATATGCCTCTATTTGCTGGGGTGGTTGGTATTACTTCTAGTTTTTTCCCTTCTCCAGTGGTTTGTATGATGTCCAGATCAATGTGTTTGTTAATGGTGTTCTGGCAGAATGCCAGGCCTCCAGGAATTCGCTGGTAGGTATGTTTGGCCTGTGTTATTACAGATGTATTGTCCCAGTTGAATTAGTGTCCTTTGTCCATGTGTATTGAGATCAGTGATAATTGAAGTGTCTCTTGGTGGTGAGTTGGTGTATCCTTAGTCAGTTTTCCTCCCCTTGGCCTAAGTAATGTTTCTCAGTCCTTGGACTGACTGCCAGTAAGTCTATTAAAAGAGAAGGGACCAAAGCTTTTCACAGTGTTCTGATTGGAGCCTCATTTAAAGAGGCTCCAAAGCCAAAGTTCCATCTGCCTTTATTACCCTCAACTTTGAGGCTAGCTTTGTTTTATGCACAATTCCCAAATCCCTGTAGCTTTCTGCAGCCTTCCACAATTTAAATAGTCAGCTCTGCTTCCTCCTGCCATAACATTTCCCCACATCATATTCCATTTGACTAGTTTTTGCTCACTTAGTCTGCAGAGGAATAAAGGACAGACCATCATCCTTAGCACTTCCCTTCCCACTATTCAGTGGGAATCTCACTTTCAATTCTAGCTTAAGTAATTTACTTCAAACAATATTTACCCAGTTCACACAGTCCATCTTTTAGTTTCATTCCAGATGGACATACACAGGTGTACTTTGGCAATTGACCAATCTGTGGACCAGGCAGGCAGAGGTATTTACAGCCTCCATTTTCCAGTTCCTCAGTGCACCAGTTTTTGCCTGTTGAGACCAAGACTTTCAATTTAGTAATTGGAACATTAATGGCCATAACATGAGGCTGGCTCAAAATTTTAGTCTATTAGATAGTTATTTTGCATTGGAATTAGACTAGCAACTAATTATACATTGACAATTAAAAACATGGCAGCTGTAGAAGACAAACATTAATGAACTAGAAGCAAACAAAAAGGAGAAACTCTGCCAAGTCTGGCAGCATCTGTTGATAAAAAGCAAAGTTGATGTTTTGGGTCCAGTGACCCTTCAGAACTGAAGGGTTTGAAAGGTCACTGGACTATTTTGGGTGATCTCTCCACAGATCCTGCTAGACCTGCTGAGCATCTCCAGCAATTTATTTTCAGACATCCAGCAAATGCAATGCTTTTAATATGCATTAGATTCAGTAGATACACAAGTTCTGAACAGCAAATACTGGACTAGTTTATAACTACAGCATTGACTAAACTTGATCTTGTTATTGATGATCTTATAGTTATACAGTGAGAAAGCAGCAAATACAGGGTCAATACTAAACTTAAAAATCAAAGAAAGCAATTTGATTAGATTCCCTACCAGCTGGTTGCATTAAATCATGATAAATGACGACATCATGAGGTTGAAGATTGGAAACTAAAGTCATGACATTTGCTCCTGTATACTTGTTGGCTCCAAAAATGGCTTCGTTTATTTCATCAGTCCAGAATACATGATCCTGAAACAAGTGATCAAAAGAATTTTTGGTGTATGAAAAGCTTTGATCTGTTCTATGTTTTGTAGATAGTTTTATTGCCTATTGCAATTATACAACAAATCAACATGGTTTACAGCAGTTAGACCAGATGCCACCAGTAGTGGAGATACAAAATCAAAGCAGGTGGGAGTACACACCTTTGCCCTGCTCAGGCAAGTCTTGCTTACGTGCCGGGAAATTTTAATTCACTTTTTCCAAGCCACTGTTGGGGAAAATTGATGGCTTTTCAAGCTCTGCTAACATCACTATCCCTTGTAGAGAACATGGCACCTACTGCTCAAGTGATTTTGTTAACCAAAACTCCTCAAAAATCACTGCTAAGCTATTGTTTATTCACCATCCAATTCCTTTCAGAGAATCAGGGGCCATGGGTTGGTGAAAGGGTTTCAGGATAGGTAAAGCCTTATGACCTTACCCTTCAGAAAACTAGTTTTCAAAAACAGGACTGATTCCCAAAAGGGCCTGTGACTATGATGCAGGCCAACATCTCCATCAGTGGAAAATATTGCTTGTGGGGTTGGGGAGGAATGCCTACTCCTGCAAGCTCTTGTACTTGAGTAAATCGTTGGGGAGTACTCAGGACATGATCGGGTTTCTAGGGTTTTAATACCATTTCTATCCCCTGCCTCTGGAGAGAGTCAGAGGCATGCCTAGAGTCTCATTTGTGCCAGTAGTATCGTAACAAATACCTTTACCCCAAAACATTGGGCTCAATGTTTTAGGAGCTATTTAAGATTCTTCCTGTAGAGGTGATTGAAGGAGCCAAAAAAAATAAAAGCAGATAAAAAGAAGTCATGGATGCTAAGTTTACTTTTGTGGAAATTGGATGCAAGACCTTGCTTTGTAGAATAGTTGTATGCAAAGGGAAAAAACCATGCAAAATGTTGTTTTGGCATTACTCTTCATAATGGCAGCTAAGGGTGAACTAAATAACTTAGCTACACAACATTTAACATTTAGCTGAAGAAAGTCAAATGTTTTAAAAAAAGAAATTAAGCTGTTGTCAGAGAGCAAGAGATGAGCAAATTATACTACAAATGGAGTTGTTGAGCAAGCTAAGCTCTGATCAATATATAATTGCATTGCTTTCCAAATGATCTGGACTGTGCTACAACCCCTCAATTGCAGAGGTACAGTCAAAGTCTAGGGGTGTGCTAGAAGCAAAGTATACAGTAGCTTTGAATCTTCCATCTTGGTTAAAAGAGTGACACTACCTCAAATAAGGTGACAGCAAAAGGACGGGCAAGGAATTCATGTGAATAAAGTACTGTTCTTCGGTCCTGTCCATTGACATCTACACTGGACAACGTGTGGAGTTTTGAGTCAACCCAATAGAGACGGCTTTTCACACGATCTGTGGATGAAATTTAAGATTAGCCAACTCATCGGGGAAAAACTGAAGTGGGAAAATATATAATCTTTACCAGCCAGCCCACTTACCAAGTGTAATGCCATTTGGTGACTGGATCTCACTGCTAACCAGAAGCTGCCTGTTGACACCATTCATGCCTGCTTTTTCTATCAAGGACGGCTCACCTACATCTGACCAGTAGATGAACCTTTGAACAACAAAGACCATTTAGTCAATTAGCACTCAATTTAGACTCAACAAATTTTAAGTTTTTACTGTATTCTGAGCAGCATACTAGTTATATGGGTTTAAAGCAAATTTAAAATTATGAACCCTTGGTTAAACAAACTTTGTGCAATCTAAATAAAATGGACAAGACTCCATCTTTAATTGATTCAAACCAGGAAGTGTTTCTTTGCCTGTTCATTCATTTTAAGACTACATAGATACTATTCATAGAGGCAGCTTATGCTTGCAACTAGTCTGGGGTTTATAAAATGTTCCCACAATTATGAATAGGAACACAGCAAGAACACTCCAGCTAGTGGGTTGGATGGCATTTTAAGTAGTAATGAGTAAAATATTGAAGTTGTTCTAACAACTTCATACAAGCCTCATTATGTTCTTTCCCTCATTAAAAGAATGCCTTCAAGGATTTTGCTCTCAAATAGCTTCGTAGGAAAGTTACTCTAGATCAACTCAAATCTAGAGGCATTTGATCACAAGACAAGGGAGCTGCACCTTTTCTAATGAAAACTAGAAGAGGTGAGGAAGGTGGCCAAAATGGAACTTCAAAGTAGAACTAGAGAACTGGCCTAATTCAAACACTAGTGCTATGGTGTTTAAATTTCATGCACATTACTAAAGTCAATTTTGGTGAGAAGGGTAGTGATCGTTGAGGTCCACAATCTGATAGCCTTTTGAAGCAGAACTAGTTGAGTTCTGTACAAGTCCAAAAGAGGTAATTACTCAGCATTTGTACTACACAGGATACAAGTTAATGTAAACTCTGCCTATTACTAGCATCAAGCAAAAAACTGCTTTAAAACAACAAAACAGATTGCTAGGAGAGCTCAGGTCTGGCAGCATCTGCTGAGGAAAAGAGCAGCATTTACATTTTTGGGTAAAACCCTTCCTCAGGAGGAAGGGCCATTCAATGTTAAGTGTTAACTTTCTCCTCCCCAGATGCTGCCAGACCTGCTGAGCTCTCCTAGCAATTTGTTTTTGTTTGATTTACAAAATCTGCAGTTCTTGGAGTTATTCAAGATGCTGCTTTCTGGGTAAACTTCAGTTGTTCAACCTCCACCATTGATCAGGCTCTGGAATGGAATGAGCTAATTGCAGCCAGAATTCCATATCCTGTTGCAGCATCTGAAAGCAATCCTACCTCAGTTTCCTGTCATTTCCAACAATGATTCACCCATCCAAAAACAAGATCCTTTGGATTTAATCACTGTCAAGTACATGCAGTTTCAATGAAAGAAGGTAAAAATTTAGAAAGGTACCCAGTTAATGGATCAACTGCCACAGAAGCTGGTTCCTTCAAGTCTGTGTCAAACAGAGTTCTCCTTGCAGTTCCATCAAACGTAGCCACAGAGATTGTTCTGGTACCCCGATCAGTCCAGTAAATATGCTTGTAGATCCAGTCTACAGCAATCCCCATAGGACTATCTACATCCTCAATAACTCTAGTGACACCAGTTTCACTTTTCTTTTCAGACATGAACGAACTAAGGAGAGGAAAGGAAGTTGTCAAACTCAAGTCAAAAAAGATTAAAACATACCCTCAGTTCACAAATCTTTGGTTGAACAAGTGATTAAAATGCAGAAATAAGATTTACAATTAAAGTGACTAGGCAGATTAACAAATACTATGCACTGGCAATTACTGAAATACATGCAGGGTAAAAGAAAATATTTCATGCTGTTAAACAAGTTATTTGTGAAGCTGGATTAAAAACTGCCTTGGAATACCCAAATCTGCAAGTGTACTTCAAAATCAGAACAATCTGAAAGATTGTTATTAAAAGAGTGCTGTAACAAATCTTAAATTACCTGAAGATCGCTTGCTGACCCAAGTCAACCCAAAAGACGACTTGTTCTGAAACATCAACATCCAATGCAACTGCATTTCTCAGCTGGTCAACTATCTGAGTGTATTCTCGGTGATAAAGTCCCATCTTCCGGATATCATGACGGTTAGTAAAGATCACATAAGGCTCTTTGCCTGAGAAAGAGACAACTGCATGGATTGAGGTGAACAGCAAGGGGTTTCCTGTCAAGTGTCTTAAATGAAATTCAGAGCAACCTTCAGCAATGTGTGTATATCTTGATCCAATCTAAAGCTAAACTAAAGCTAATTTTTAAAGAGGAAATTTAAAACTCGGCTATACAAGTGTGCAGAGATTCACATTTGTAATTTTCCCTTCAATTTCTGCATGCCCAACTCTACATTCATAATGTTAAGATCAACACCTTCAGTTTTTAACCTGGGAATGAAAAATCTGATACTTAATCAGGTCAATAAATAAGTGATTGCTTGTATCCCAAACCACCTGACCTAATGTATTTCTGGCCAGTTGATTTTATAAAAAATCTCCACTTTAAAACACCATGCCTCAATTGCCTTCAGTCTCCGAAGGAAAAAAAAACAAACAATTTGTTAGCCCAATCTTGATCCCTTCTATGATAGGGAAGTGTATCCATTTAGTTCTTGGCAGTCATGCCTAGCCAGTCAGCAAAAGGGAGAATGCTGTGGCTTTGCCAAGGATCAGCATTCAGGTATTTCTGCTATGACAGTTGTATTTGAGACATTCACTATAGAAAATAGCCATAGAAAAAGCCACAGAAATCACTATTGAAAAAAGTGTATAGTAGAAGTTGTTATCCAACCAGTGCCCACTATTAAATCACATCAATGCCAATTCACTAACAATGTTATATCATAAATAACTGTATCCACTTTAGCCACAAGCAAGGTCCCAGAAGACCAGAGAATAGACTGTTCCTTTAAAGAGGAAAACAGGCACAACCCAGGAAATTAAGGCTATGAGCCTTACATTAAATGGTAGGGAAATTAGGACATTCTTAGGGATATTTTGAATTTCCTACTTTACTCATTTGGAAAAGAATGGACTTATCAGGAATAGTCAGCATAGCTTTATGCAGGGCAGGCCTCAACTTAATCAAGTTTGAGATGAGAAAGTGATGAAGATGATGGATGAGGGCAAGACAGTGGATGTTGTCTACATGGACTTTAAAGCACTTGACAAGATATTTCATGTTAAGCAGACCCAGAAGATCAGCATGTGGGATCATGGTGAGTTACTAAGTGGGTATAAAATGGCTTGGTTGTAGGAGGGGTGACTTTGACTGGAGGTCTATGCCATGGTGTTTTACAAGGATCAGTGCTAGAATCATTTGTATTACAAATCAGATCACTTTTATCCAGATCTGTTAACAAGTTTGCAGACAAATTGGTGGAGTTGGAGCATGAGGAAGATGGTCAAAGGGTGCAGCATGCTATAGAACAATTAAAGAGAGTTGGGTAGAGAAGTGGCAGATGCATTTTAATCTGGCCAAGCAGTGATATGTTTTTGAAAGTCAAATACAAGAGGAAAATATACAGAAAGTGTCCAGACCTTTAAGAGCATTTGATTACAGAGCTTGGGGGGGTTCATATCCATTAACTCTTGACAGTAGCAATACAAGTGAATGAAGGTTGTAAAGACAACATACTACATGCTGTCCTTCATTGGAGAAGGCATTGAGTATAAAAGTTGAATCACATTGCATTTGAGTTTAGATAGGCCACATTTGGAGTACTGAGTGCAGTCCTGGTCACCACATTAAGATGGAGGCTTTGTGGGATTGTGTAGAAGAGGTCTACCAGGATATTGCTTGTATTTAGTGCATTAGCTACAAGTGAGAGATTGGATAAACTTGGATTGTTTGCACAAGAGCAGAGGCTGTGGGGGCAACCTGCAAAGCAAATAAAATGGAGAGGTAGGGAAAGGGTCAATAGAATCTCAGGGTAGAAATACTGGGTGCATAGGTTTAAGGCAACATGTGGTAGTGGGGGGGCAAGGAGAGAAGAAACAGATGCAATAGGCAAAGCAGATCCTTGGTAGCAACATCTAAGACAGAGGCAGGACCTTGTGCAGGCAGATGGTATTCATTTAGAATGGTATTGTGGTTAGTACCAACATTGTGGGCCAAAAGACCTGTTCTTGAACTGTCCTGTTCTATGTTAATCCAACTACTTGTGTTAGACCCCTACTAATATACTCCTAGATTCCAAAAATGTTAGCTACCAGATTAGCCCTTTTACCCTTCCATAGGTGGGGGACTGGGCCAATAACAATTTCTTGTTAACTGCTGCAAAATTACAAAAGTCTATGAATTCCCAATCTGCTATTAGAGGGATAATACTATATTCTTGAATTAAGTGTTCTGTGTATTTTAACTTTGTCCATTTCAAACAAGCAATGGAATTAGGAGCAAGACCTTTTGCATCAATATGCCTCAGCCCAAGCCTATCTGGCTTGCTATATTGGGTATAGTAACTGTCAGTCTTGAACAATGAAATCTCACTGGAGATCAGAGCAACTTGAATGCTGTCCAAAACTTGGAAACACTACTTGCCTCCTACTGCCTTGCAGCTTTGATTGGTTGTATCCAGGTGATATCCTGCGAAACATTCACATTTAAAGCTTCCATTTGTATTAATGCAAATTTGGCTGCAGACACCAACATCTTGACATTCGTCAATATCTAAATGAAACCAAGAACACTGAATGAGGCAAAGACTTTGATATCCGTATTTCTAACCTGCTATAAATAAATCGAGAACTGGAGTACAAGGATGCAGTGGTTATGCAACAGTTACACAAAACCCTGGTTAGGCCCCACTTAGAATACTGTGAGCAGATCTGGGCACAACACCTAGCCTTGAGGCAATACAAAAAAGGTTTACAAGAACAATACCTGGACTTCAGTGGTTAAAAATTAGATTATACAAATTAGGCCTACTTTTTCTAGGATTTAGAAGTTAAATGATCCAAAGTCTTCATGATAGCAACCAGAAGAGGCAGGGTAGGTAAAGAAACTATTTGTACTGGTTGAGGATTCTAGAATGAGGGAAGCAGTTTAAAAATTAGCACCAGACCATTCAGGAGAGATGTAGGAAGCATTCCTATGCTAGGTGGGAGGGGTTTGCAACTTTCCAAGTGATCCCGTATTCACTACTATGCATGATCTTACAAATTGTGATCTTTGTTTTTAACTCATGGAATGAGGGAGTTGCTGTCTAGGCCAACATTTATTGTCCATCCCCAATTGCCTAGAGGGAAGTTGAGTCAACCACATTACTGTGGGTCTGGAGTCACAGGTAGGCCAGACCAGATAAGGATGGCAGATTCTATCCCTAAAAACAGAGGACATGAACCAGGATTTTATTCCTCAACCCCCAGTCACTGGTCAATTGTGCATACTGACATTTCAGTGAAGGGAGTGAATGTCGTACCAGTTAGTTAATTAGTCTGTGTCTTGGTTGGTGTCACACCTTGACCTGCTCTCACCCATGCAAGCAAGGAATATTCCTAAATCATTGTATATGGACCTTGTAAAAAAGGTAGATAAGCTCAAGCAATTGTCAGAACTTACAGGAGATATCTGAATACATTCTATATCTGGCCACTTCTAGTTCACCAAGGTGAAGTACACAGCCTTCTTTAAGCACTGCAGAAAACGTGCTCCAGTTAACTAGGGAGATCCAAGCCCTTGACCTATGAGGGATACAAATACCTTCCCCATAGTAATTTGGGCTCAGTCAGTTTGGTTCTTCCAAGTAGAGAAAAATCAGTTGCAAAACCCCACACTGTCCAAACCACCTATGCAAGTAGCTCTAGCATATCCTACAACCCCTGTAGAGTGATCTCAGCTAGCCAATACCCAGCATTTGACTTGCTCATGTAGCTACAGCAAGTGTGGTTGCAGTGAAATTTCTGGTTAATTGTGATCCAATGGAGGAGATTAATGGCAATATCTGAAGTACTAAAACATCATTGATTTGGTTATTGCCTGGTACTTTGGATACTTATTAGTTAAGACAGCAGTATGTTAGTCACTTCACAATTTCACAAAGTCTGCATTGGACAAGATGTAGCACAAGTTACCTGTACATATTTTTCCATCAACCAATTCAAAGCCAGTAGGACAGATACATTCATGACCAATGACCAGGTCTCTGCAGATGTGTGAGCAGCCTCCATTGTTTGTCTGACATTCATTTAAATCTGCAGAAAGAGAAAAAAGTTACTTTAACTCAAGCCAAAGTAATTGGCTCTAAATTTTAGTTTTTAAGATACAGATCCAAGGACTGAATGTGAGGGGAATCAACTACAGTCCTGAACTGATTGAAAGTAGAGTTGCAGGTAGACAGGGTGACAGTAAAGTTTGGCATGCTTGCCTTTTGGTCAGCACCCTGAGTATGGGAGTTGGGATGTCATGTGACTAGTTAGACCACTTTTGGAATATTACACAGTTCTGGTTTCCCCGCTATAAGAAAGATGTTGTTAAACATGAGTTGAGATTAGAGGATGTTGCCAGGGTTGGAATGTTTGAGTTATAAAGGAGAGGTTGAATAGGCTGGGGCTCATTCCCCTTGGGATAAGAGGCTAAGGATGATCTTAAGAGGTTTATAAAATCATGAGGGGCATAGACAAGGTGAATGGCCAAGGTCTTTATCCCCCAGTGTAGGGGATTCCAGAACAAGAGGGCATAGGTTTAAGGGGAGAGGAAAGATGTCCTTTTTTAAAAAAAAGGAAAGGGACCCAAGGGGCAGCAACTTCACGGAGTGGTGTTTGAATGGAACAAACTGCCAGGAGGAAGTAATGGCAACTGGTCCAATTACAACATTTTTAAAAAAGGCATCTGGATGGGTACATGAATAGGAAGATTTAGACATATGGACTAAATGGGACTAGGTCAGCACAAACAAATTGGTCTGAAGCGTGTTTCCACACTGTATAACAGTCTGCTGCAAGTACAGCTCAACTACAAAAGTTGTTTTGCTTTCCTAGGGAGCTTTATGGTAACCTAGCACCTTTATAGGTTTAAAATGGTAGTATACTTTGAAACAACTCAATTAAGAAAAGGAGAGATCTTGCTTTCAATTAGCAAAGCTAGCTAATGACCAGTTAACCAATTAATGCACCACAATCTAGTGAATGCTGAAGGCTGCAAATACAGGAGCAGTGATCAAATGGATTTTGCTACTCTGGCCTGCATCTTAAGAGATCAATGTTCATTGCAATATCATTCACTACATTTCTCCCCGTTTGACTTCTTGGACATGCAGCCCAAAGTTAGTAACCCTACTGAAATAATGAATTCTGCCTTCCAGTGAGCAAACAAGTCAATTTGTTGACTGGTTTGAAGCTATTTATTCAGCCTCCTTACCCCTTCCCAGTCCTACAAAAGTTAGCAATTTGCTCACTTTTTTTGTACACAACCTCACTCCACCTCCAACGAGAGTTGTTTCATGGAAGCTTAACGCAGGAAAGTGTTAGAGAAAGAGGGTGACTGAAACAGCAACTCCTCACTAATTCTATCAATTCTCATGGAGAGAACTTGGATTCAAAACAAACCTCAAAATGGCCTTTCTTACTGCTTCAATTTTGAACGTTAGTAACTCAGTCAGTCATTCTAAATTTTAAATTGTGAAGCATGGATGATTCAATCTACTCTTGGACAGTGAGAACTTCATGCAAAAAAAGTGTGCCACCTGAAATGGTTAGAGTAATACAAGTGCCAGAATATCATATCATATTACAAGTCATCCATTTAGTGGGAAAGTTTACTCCATGTAACTAAAGGCAGTTTAAGCCAAATGCATTGGAGGGAACTAAAAAAAAGTTAGCTAGGAAGCAGAACTGCTCAAGGAGACAGATACACTTGGGCACTTTGCAAAAGTGTATTAGTATATAAAAAGTCAAAAGAGGAGAAAAATAGCAAGTTGGTTAAAACACTGAAGTTTTCAATAAAGCCCCACCAGTATATAAGAGGATGAGGGAAGGTATAAAAGAGGAGTTTAGGAAAAGGAAGAGGCTATCTAGTTGAAGTCACACTGCCAAATGGGTGCACAACAGTCCAAAGTAAAAAGGAATGCAAACATTTGCTGGTTTAGATTTGTGGTACAGTGGGGTCAGGGTAGAAATGGAGGCATCAACCCTAGAACTCTGGAAGCAGATTGCTGGGCCCCTTGCTGAGATGGGTGCATCAATAGCCATAGATGGTGAGGTGCCAGAAGGCTGGCCATAGGTCAATGTGGCCATTATTTCATAATTATGGTAATAAAAGCCAGGTAACTATAGACTGGTGAGTCTGACAGTGGGCAGCAAGTTGGAGGGAATCCTGAGGGACCAGAGTTACTTTTTTTTGAAAGGAAAGGTCTGATTAGGGATAGTCAGCATGGCTTTGTGTTTGTAGTAGTAACAGAGGATTGATAAAAGGCAGAGCAGTGGAGGTGATCTGTGGACTTTAGTAAGGCATTGACAAGGTTAGATCACAAACAGGGAAAACTAGGTATTTGGATACAAAGCTGGCTCATTAAAAAAGTAGAAAACAGGGTGGTGGAGGCTTGCTTTTCAGACTGGAGGCCTATGACTAGTGTGCACTGGGTCAACTGCTTTTTGTCATTTATGTAAATAATTTGGACATGACCATAGGGGTGGTTAGCAAGTTTACAGATTGGTGGTGTAGAGGACAGCAAAGGTTACCTCAATAGAACAAGATCTTGATCAGGTGGGCCAATGGGCTGAGTGGCAAATGGAGTTTAATTTTTGATAACTGCAGCATGTTGCCTTTTGGAAGAGCAAAAATCAGGCAGGACTTGTACACTTAAACAGCAAGGTCCTGGGAAGAGTCGTTGACCAAAACAGACCTTGAAGTGCATGTTCGTACTTCCTGCAAAGTGGAATCCCATGTATACAGGATGGTGATGAAGGCATTTATTGGTCAACACACTGAGTATAAGAGTTGCAAGGTCATGTTGCAGCTGTACAGGACATTGGTTAGGCCACTTTGTATGCTGCATGTAATTCTGGTCACCTTCCTATAGGAAGGACAGTGAAACTGGAAAGGGTTCACAAGAGTTGAAGATGTTGCCAGGGTTGGACGGTTTGAGCTATAGGAAAGGCTGAAGCCATTTTCCCTGGAGTGGAGGCTGAGGGGTGACCTTAAATGTTTATAAAATCTGAGGGGCATGATAGGGCAAATAAGGTTTTGGGTTAGGGCAGGGGAAGGAGGAAGGAGTCCCAAACTACAGAGCATCAGTTTAAGGGAAGAGGAGAGGTATTGATGAAAAAAGAAAAAGGGAGCTAAGGGGCAACTTTTTCCAGAGGGTGGAGTGGATGGAATGAGCTGCCAGAGGAAGTGGTGGAGGCTGGTACAATTACAACATCCAAAAAAGGCATCTGGATGGGTATATGAATGGGAAGGATTTGAGGGATATGGGCCAAATGCTAGAAAGTGCGACTAAGTTAATTTAGGATCTCTGGTCAGCACGGACAAGTTGGACCCAAAAAAGGTTGGTTGCTGTGTTGTATATCCCTATGGCCTTGCAGTAATAATTTGAGCAAGTCAGTGTAAAATTAGCAACAACAGGAACTAAAGTAGTAATGCAGAATGCACCAGAAATAAAGCCCTAGATGAGCTCAAAAGTTGAGGATTGGAAGCTGACATTGCAGATGGAAACAGTGGGAGAAGTTTTAAATACCACTATTGCAGAGGGATCTGGCAGCAGTGGTAGTGACCTTACCTCCAAGCTAGAAGGCCCAAGTACAAATCCCACCTGCTCTAGATGTGTAATACCAAATAGGTTGATTAAAACCAGTTAGTTACAGGGGTCTTGTAGTGCAGTGGCAGTGTCCCTACTTCTACAGCAGGAGACCTGGGTTCAAAATCCAACCTGTACCACAGTACTACAAACATCTGAACAGGCCAATTAGAAAATATCCTACTAGTTGTGTTGAAACGTGGTAGGATTTTCATAATGTAGCTTTCATATCCTGGCTAACAGGATATTTAGAAAAAAGTACTTACGACAGTATTTGAGGGGCTCATCACTCCAGTCCTTGCAATCTTGATGACGATCACATACTTGGTTTAGAGATATACATTCTCCATTTTGGCATTTGAAGTCGTTGGGTCCTGTGCATTCTGAGGAGATGAACTAAGTCAGCATCTTAGGATGAAGATTGTGAATTCACAGTGGATGTGAGACACTTACCATTCTTACAATTCAACTCATCACTGCCATCAACACAGTCTTGAAATCCATTGCATTGTCTGCTTTCTGGAATGCAACTTCCATTATCACAAGGAAGATGATGTGGCTGACATGTTAGAGGAGCTTAAAGAGATCACAAAAACCCATTTGTCATTAGTAGCATTCAATCTAATAGGAACCTAATGGCTTTAAATTTTTGCCAATAAAAGTCAGCCTCCCTCGACTCTTGTTGGCAATTCCAGACAGAATGAACAGGCCTTGCTTAGAATTTCACTTGTTTCCAGACATGTTGAGTGTCATGTTTGAAAGACCTTGCTAATACCTCATTTTTCATTCCATTTTAAGTTACAGCATAAAAGTTGAAACAGAAGGCCCAGTTGACAAGTGCTGGCTCATGGCAAATCAAAGTATGAGAGATTTATCATTGGCTTGGCATGTATCTTGGAAAGTTGAAGGACACTGGCTACAGCAACAAGAGGTTACATTTGCACAGAACAAAAGCTGTGAGTAAAGTCTGTTGCACTGGGCAATGAGCAAAGGAGGGGAAACATTGGTTTTTGAATATAGGTTATTGCCTATGTGGCAAGTTCTTTGTTTGCTCTTCATCTAAAGCCTTAGTTTCAAACTGCCCTCCACATGAAGTGACATTATTGCAGGAAGGGAGACCATGTTGTAGAGAGCATTGACACAGATAGAAAATTGGAGAGAAAAGAGGAGAATTAGGTAGCAGTGCTCAGGTTGGTAAGATGTAAATGGTGTGCCAGAGTTCAGGGTTCAATGCTGAAGCCTCAATTGTTTACACTTAAAATAACTTGGATAACAGGCTACAAAAGGTATGGTTGGCAGTTGTCTGAAAAAGGTTGGCAAGTTAAATTGAGAGAGAAGGATTAGCTATGAGAATTAATGGGCTAAGATGCAGCAGACTGAGTACAGTGTGAGTAACCATGAGATTGCCTAGAAAGAGCAGATTTTCTAAAATGTGAGGGATTGCAGAGCTCACCAGGAATTGGGTTGGTCTTTGTCCAAGAGATTGACATACAAGTTAACAGGAAGGGCTAATAGAATGTTCTCATTTAAAAATTACAATTCAAAACAGGAAATATTTTATTTTTCTGTTAAGGATACTGAGGCACACCTGAAGAAGTGACATTGGAGGGAGACTTGTCAGTGATCAAGGGAGTTTTAACTTAATGCTGCAATCAACATATCAATTAAAAAAGAGATTGCCTGTTGCTCTTTAACTGCAGCCTGTACAATGACTTGATCAAACAAGATCCAGAAGAGTCTAGACACAGTGGATATGGAGTAGACTTTCCTTCTGAAAGAATCTTCAACCAAGGGTCCCAAACTGTCAGGGGCTCAGCTATTTAAGAATTGGGTAAAGTTTGTGGGTTGTTTGGAATGATCTTGAACTGGTGATTGCTTTATATTCAAGTGTGCTGAGAACATAGATCCCTAGAACCTGTCTGCCTCAATACTTTGTCAACACCCAACAGCACCTTTTTGATATTTTCATCCCCTAGAATAAAACCTACCTCAGATTCACCATCCACCATCCACCATGTTCTTCTCTTGAGTACCAATGCAAAGTGTCAGAGCACCTTACTCCACTTCCTCCAGCTCCACACAAATCCCCTCCTTTATCAGAGGGGGCCAACCCTTTCCCTGGCTATCCTCTTGCTAGTTATAGATGTTAAAAACACCCAAGAGATTCGTTTAATCCTAATGTGCCAGATATTTGTCAAAAACCTGCAGTTTTAGCTTGAAGCTCAGCTGCATTAATCCATTAAAATGATTGTTTCAGACAAGTTAATCAACTATTTGTGCAAATCTCATTGAAGTGAGGATGCAGATGTTCCATTCTCTAAATCCAAATAAGCTTTGAATTCAGTAACCACTTTAGTCCAAAATATGATGTGCTATATGTCATCTACAAAAAGTGGTTAGAATGTCAGTAGACAGACCAAGCTTTTTGCTCAGAAAATAGACAGGTTAAGAATTGCTCCTTTAAAAAGTTTTACAAATTATGTCTTAAATGAAAGCTTACCATACACTACTCCTGTGTAATGGTGTAAAAGCAAGATAAATGACTGGACTGGCTAGTCCATTTCCTATTTAGTATGATCAGTTGATTAACCCATTTGAAACACCAACTGTCATGTACAATGGAGCTTTTTTGTCTTCCACTAAAAATTGTTCTGTTCAGCACTCTAAATCAGAGAAACACAATGGTATTTTAAGCAAGCTTACAAAGTAACTGAAAGGTCAACATTCCAAGCTAATAAGCATCTGCTCACTATTTACTACCCAGAAGTAGCAGATTAAAATGCAAACAAGTTGTTGTAAAAACCTCAGATCTGTTGAGACAAAGTACAGGTCCAGTGACCCTTTAGATTCACATTTGCCATTTCAGATTTACAACTGCTCTAGTTTTGCTCAAAATACAAAGTTTTATTACTTACGGCAGTCAGCTTCATCACTTCCATCTCGACAGTCCACATCACCATCACAGTACCATCGACTATGGATACATTCACCAGAACCACAATGGATCTCATTAGGAGGGCAAGTCACAGGAGGAAGGGGATGCCCACAAAGAACTGGAGATTCATCTGATTGATCACTACAGTCAACATTAGTGTCACAGATCCAGCCCAAAGGGATACATTCTGAATTATTACATTGGAACTCATGTGGCCCACAGGAGATTAAGGTACAGTTCTCCTCATCACTTCCATCACCACAATCATCTTTACCATTACAAACAAATGCCACAGAAATACATCTGGCACTGGCACAGGCAAATTCTTCTGTGCTGCATGTATGGTTATCTGAACAAGATGAAAAGGGACATGTTTAAGTGTTAATCAAAACAAGGCATTAATCAACAAAACATCTCTAAAAGGACATACTACAGATTTAAACCCAAATCTGTTATGCATAGAATGTTGTATACATTCTGGGCAAATTGTTAATTAATAGATTGCATCCCAACTGGGGCTACTCAGGAGAGTTTACAAACTTTTAAAGCTGAGTTAGTGCAGTGTTAGGATGGTCTAAGTTTGAGATCATCAAATGCTAGAGAGCTAACAAAAAGTGGCTCTAAAGTTTGAAAGTCTATTAAAGTTATGATCAGATGTTGGACATACTGTCAGCTCAAAGCTGAGATCTAAAAGGAATTTTTTTTTTTTTTTTTTTAAAAAAAAGTGTTAGATATCTACTTACCACAATCATCTTCATCATTGCCAGTATCACAGTCCTCTACTCCGTCACACTTCCAAACAGCTGGAATACACTCAAGGGACCCAGGGCCACAGCTTATTTCATTGAAAGCACAGATATTCATGTCTAAAAAAGGACCATAATTGAAACGTGTTTTTCTATCTGCCTGCAATTTCTACCAACTTGAGAAAATGGATAAGGTCAACAAGATCCAATTGGGTAATGGAGGCCAATAGTTAGTAACTCTTGGCCTTTTATATTGCCTGCTAATGCTAAACCCAGCTTTGGAGATTAGATACCCAACTCTGCCATGTGGATACTACAACATTGAGGGATAAGGAAGGCTTACATTTGTCTAGTAGTTGAGGTGATAGACAAGTTGAATGTAGAAAGTATAGCAATTTGCAAACAGTAAGCTCCTACAAACCATAATGAGCAAACAACTTGGAGATGCTGAGGGACAAGTTTGGCTTCAGACATAGGGATAGCTCACCAGCTTACCCTGAAGATTGCCAGATTTTCCACACCCATTGAGGGGTCAGACAGGCCATCTGAAATTCTATCCAAGGTGATTAGAACCAAAAATGCTTGGCTCAAATTACACAATATTTCCACACTTAATGGAAAGAGGAAAAAGTATTGGGAAGTTTTTCCAAACTACCTTCCCTACTCAAGGTAGTCATTCCCTCACAGGAAAATGTCAAACTCTTTGCTAGAAATAGTGCTTAAAAGCAACTTTTACTTAGTGGCTTAGCTATACATTAATTGACCAGCTCATTGTTAGTGCTCAAAACACCAATGGAGATCAAGACCTATTGAAGCTTCTAACACATGCATCCATGAGGAATCATGAAATACTAGATTTAAGTGATCAAGATTTCAAAAGACTGATTGGCAAGTGTTACTTTCTATGTAATCAGCTCAGCAAACTATACCATCCCCAGCCTGTTGGAAAAATGAACTTAAATTCTTGGTCGAGAACAGTAGAACAATTTTAGCAAGTGTAAAATTGTGTTGAAAACATTCAATCATAACCTGATTGATGTAGCTACTAAAAACATTTGATTATTCAGCAATCGTTGTCACATTGCAATTTGATTATACCTTGGAGAGGTCAGTTCTCAGGTACTGATTAGTGGGGCAGTCTAATGAGCCAACCAACATTAGCTGATACCCACTGGAATGTATAGCTTATATATCTGTACATAAATACCAGCATGATGCCAATGTTACTTAGGAAGAAATTTGCTTAGGAGCCATCAGCTGCATCCCATTAATGCAAACACTATTTGCATAGTCACTATAGTATCCAGCATGAAACTGCTTTCATAAGCAGTTCAAGTGAGATCATTTTTCCATTCCAGGGAAACAAACTAGGTCACATTTATCCAAGCCAAGCAGCCAATTTGAATGTGTAGTGAACAATCTGATCAGGATAACCATTCACCTTCAGGTCATTATTGGCATTAAACTTGCATGACTAAAAAAGAGACAGGCCCCATGTTACAATTGCTAAAAGAACAAATTGTTAGTGCATGGAGTTACACAAACTCAGTACATAACTGCATAGCAAGAACTGCAGATGCTGGAGCTGGAAGAACACAGACCAGGCAGCACCACAGGAAAGCTTTGCTATTGTAGTGGGCAAACAAATTGTTATCTATGTTCTTGATGTGCTAGTTAAGACACTCCAAGTGTGGAGGTGAACAGTTTTTATTTCAAAAGACTTCACTAAATTAACAAATAGTGGTTCTTAAAATGATGGCACATTGTCATCTAAACAGGAAGAAAGTCAACTTGCTTCCATCAGATGCTCATTTGTAATGAATTCCAATTCCTTTTATCCATGAATCTTGTAAATTCAAATTAGCCATTGGCTCACCCACCAACTTGATGCAAATTAGAACATGGTTACCCTCTGGGACCACAGCTGCAGTAATCAATATTCACTAAATTGCAATGAAGCCAGCAGTTTCTGCTTTTTGGCCCAAAGAGAGCCTGGTCCATACAATGGTATAACTTAGCACTCTTTGACCAAGAGTGCTAAAAACTTAAAATACAAAAAAGGTAACTAAAAGCAATGAGAGCAGGGCTGGCTGTGAATAGACTTGGAAAGGCATTTAGCATGAAATCAAACATTTGCCTAACAATGGTAGCTGCTTTAAGTAAATAGTTTGTAACAGGATATATCTTGAGGATGGAGGATTCTGGGAAGGCTAAACCAGAAGTTAGGGGAGGAAAATGTTAAGGTAGAATCAAGTTGAATAGGAGTAAAGATTAGGGATAAACCAGAAGATTGGGGACATTTTTAAAACAGGATTACCTAAAAAAGATAGAAGGTAGACTAGCAAGTAATAGAAAAGATTTTTTTTAAACAAAAAAAGGGACACCTTCATGAATATAGTTCCTTCGGCATGATATTAGGGAAATGAGGAATCAAATTGTAAGTGAATAAATAAATGCTTTAGGTCTTCAAGAAGGACACTATTCCAAAAATACTAAAGTCAAAAGAGGGCATAAGAGGTAACAGACAGATGCAATAATTAGCAAGAAAGTATGAGGAAAATAATGGCACTAAACCCTGAATTTCTAGATGAAGGGTCTAGGCCCAAAATGTCAGCTTTCCTGCTCGGCCTGCTGTGTTCATCCAGATCCACACCTTCAGATTTTCCAGCATCTGCAGTTCCTACTGATTCTAGATCTGATAGGTTGCATCCTAAGATTTGAAGAGCAAGTAGTTGCAAATAGAGGCCCTGGGCACTTGGGCAGCAGCTGACATGACACCCATATACATAAAGAGGGCATTAATAGTAGGCAGCAACAGGTCAGTTAGCCTAACTTTGGTCTTTAGTGACAAATAGTGTTAGCATGTTATAGAAGTTTGTTGTAAAATAATGAACATCTGAAAAGTGTACTCAGCTGCACAATACATGTACACAAACCCTTCAGTCTAAATTGTCCATGCTAAATAAATCCTAATTAGTCCCATCTGCCAGCATTTGGCTCATCCCTCTAAACCCTTCTTCATATACCCATCCTGACATCTTTTGTCATTGTACCAACCTCCCTCTGGCAGCTCATTCCATACACCACTCAAAGAGTTGCCCCTTGGGTCCCTTTTAAAGTCTTTCCCCTCACCTTAAACCTATGCCCTCTAGTTTGGGACTCCCCTACACCAGAGAAGAGGCCTTGTCTATTTACCCTATCCATGCCCCTCATGATTTTACAAACCCAAAGTCAACCCTCAGCTTGATGCTCGGGGGGGGGGAAAGTAACTTATTCAAACTCTCCCTATAGCTCAAACCTTCTAACCCTGGCAACATCTTTGAAAGGGTTCAGAAAAGATTTAAGATCAAGTTGTGTCCTTTCTTTTGCAAGGAGATGAGATTTGCATGCAGCATTCCAAGAGTGGTCTAAATCAATGTCTGCACAGCTGCAACATTCATATCTTTTCCCCTTTTTGGGGAAGGGGACAGAACAGTTCAATATCCAGCTGTAGCCCAACTAGGGTCTCAGCTTTTAGCAAGACTTCCTGAACTTTTTACTCCAGTCACTGAAATGAAAGTAGGTGTACATCTTGCTTTCCTCTTAGCTGTTGAACATGGACGTTGAGGGTTCCAGCTTGTGTAGTATTCTGCAGTCTCTCCCCATTTTAAGTCATTCAATTCCTCCCTGCTGTTGTCCCACATTAAATTCCATCTGTCAGATTTCTGCATAATTGCTTAACTTGTCAAAATCCTACTGCTAACCCTGTACCTTTTGCATCTATTTGGCATCTGCAAACTTGGCCATGGTATGTTCACTTTCCTTAAAGTCACAAATGTAAACACTATTGTGGCATCTAGTGATTCTGATGTTTCGCTAGTTGCAATCCTGAGAATGTCTCCTTATCCCAGCTGTTTTTAAAATCAGTCAACCAATCCCAAGTACTGACACCCCCCCCACCCCAACCTCAAGAACTTATTTTAAAGTATCATTGTGTGGCAGCTTTATCAAACACCAGTATTAGGGTCAGACTGCCTCAAAATAAATTAAGGTAGCCTAGGCAGTAACATTTCTTAATTTAAAAAGGTAAATGTTAAGTGTTATGATTCCAATGCAATTTGCTCAGTCAAGCTACAACATTACCTCCCAACTTATGCTCAATGCACTGACCAATGGTGAGCATACCAAGCACCTTCTTCGTTATCCTACCTGTGACTCCACTTTCGTGGAAAGTATGGACCTGCATTCCAAGGTCTTTGTACAGCCCAGGACCTCAAAATGCCTGAGGTGTTAGAATTTTTTTTTTGAAAGGGGTAACAAGCAGGATGGACAGAGGAAACAGTAGATGCAAAATTTGCATTACTACTGACAGTGCTATGTCTTGAGTAGTGTGTTGTACCCTGGTTTCTTTTAGAGATGAGGGATAGGTGCCAAGCTGTCTGGAGATGTGAAGCCTTGGGACTTAAAGGTTTTTGGAGGGAGTAGGGGCAGGGAAGGATCATACCTCTAAGGCAGTCTGTACTCAGTTAAAAGTGAGTGGTGACTCTACTGAAAAGCTTGGGGGAGCTTTAGGTGAGTAGGTACTGAAGATTTTCTCCTCATGGAAAAATTTCAGACCAGACCTTAAGTCTCAGTAAGCAGTTGACCATTTGAGACAGGAACTTCAGGGGTAGTGCAACACTGAATCTCTTTACTGCATAGGATTGTGAAGGTTGTCATTAATATGCAAGGCTGAAGTAGATTTTAGAAAAATAACACCTTTGAACTGAATAGTCAGTTTAGCCATCTCATTGATTGAGACATCAGATTCAAAGTGGGAATTCTACATCTTACCCTGAAAAGGCAAAAGAAAATGCAAGTTTATTCTGCTTCATACTGCAGCAGTGGCCACAAGAGGTGGCATTTCAACTGTCACAATACTGCTACTGGTGCAGAAAAGGCTGTGCCTACTACAGTATTCAGACATTTGTGATTAGCATGCCAAATGGCATGTTCCTGGTGCCATTTATCTGGCTTGTTCTCTGCCTGTTACTACAATCTGTTTAAATTATAGAACAAGATTGTTTTGCTATTATGTGACACTTATCCTACATGGTAGCAATCAGAAGTTGATTAGTGTGACCATTTGTGCTTGTGTAATGGAGCCACATTACAATGAGGAGTGACTATTTTCACATGTAAAGCTAAGCTCTCTACAAAGGACTCTCCATTTGAGAATTGAGTTAACAGGTATTTTGGTGAGCCTACAGTTCATGTTGCCTTCTCTGTAATGCTTCATTACTCAAATTACAAGAGTTCAGAAGAGCTAAAGTTGGATGTTGTATTTTGTTGATATTATATACATACAATCAACAAAATAC